TGAAAAGGAATCCTCGTTGAAAGCGGAACTATATTTCCATTGTCTATTTCGTGATTGTAAGAGGGAATTTTTGCCTCGTTATCAGAACAACTGTTGTCTCCTTCCTGAGATTTCACGAAACGCGACATGCGACTTTGGCCTTTTCCCTACAATATGGTGTAACTCGAAGTTAAATATTCGCGTGTTTACATTTTAAATAATCATTTTAGATAATCATTTCTTCTAGTTTGGTCGTCAATTTAAAAAAAAGAAAAATCATTATCATTCAAGTATTGGGTTATTTTTCTTTTCATAACTGTATATGTGATCGTTGTAAAAGGATAATACGGTTAATAGATAATTTAAGAAATACACGATTAGGGAAATAACTTAAAGCAGTTACACAGGATTATTCATTGCAATAAATACCACCAACGAATGATCTTTCTCTCTTACACGAAATTCTAGTCGTAGAGTGTTAAGGTCAGCGAAGCGTTTCGAAGCTGCGAGAAACAACGAGGCGATTTGCTTCCGTTTGTTCTCGTCGAAACAAATGCGAATCTGATCGAAGGTATCGAAGCCCGACGACCAAGTTTTCCATTGTTATCGCTGCTGTTGTCACCATTTCACTCTTACCGTGCACAAGTGGCAGACGCGCTTACACGATCAATAGTATTATAAATTCACGTTTTTCATACAGTCACGTGTATGATGCTCCTTTCACTTTAGTCGTTCGTTGTTTTCGCGTCATGGAACGAGTGACTTTTCCCCTTCGACATGCACGGCCGCGCGCATAATCCGCACCCCTTTTCCGTCGTGCCTCGATGAGCAACATGCTCGAACATTTGCCAACGATTAACCTGTTATTCGGACCGAAATGTACATTTCGTCTTTTATAACTGGAGCATAAATTTCAACATACGTGTTTCACCCATGGGATTTTGGAATTGACGGCCGCTACGGTGACGAATGATTTTCGTATAAAATCGATTTTTTTTTTATAATTATTGTTTACATTGAAATATCATTCGTTTATTAACAAACTTTTATCCGTGAAACATTAAAATACGAATAGGCCCTCGCGCGAATTTATATTTTGAAAAATACAATTCGAAAGATAAAACCTCGATAGGAAATTCTATCACGCGCCGAATATTATGGAAAATGCTAAATTTTCAATGTTTTCTGCATTTTTCCGTATTGCGTGCATTCCACGTGAACATTTTCCACGAACGCATAAGAATTCGCTTTCTAAACTTTGTGGTTGTTAATTAATTTTTTGTTGGTTAATTACCATCTCGGGACGACAGGTACGTAGAGGAACACGTTAAAAGAGAGTGGCAAAGAATGATGAATTTTGTTGTTTAACGTTTCTGTTGTGCGCTGTTATTTGATGAACGAATGTACACGTAAGGGAGTTTGAAGTTACATCCGGGACACGTTCCTTTGTTAGGGGTTCCAGGTGTTTCGTGAATTACCTGGAAACCTTGTTCGCCGTACTAGTTAACGACTGTTGAATAAATGAAGCTTTTTAGAACTTTTTGATGTGAATCAAACTTATCTGAAGGAAGTTAGTCGACTTCATCGAAATGGTATATCAACGTAAAATTCCTAAATTCCGTGAATTTTTCCTTCCCACTTTTCAAGACCCAATAGAGGCTTTGCATTCTTCATCTAGTACGAGAGTTTGTACAAATTTTTAAAACAAAATTCAAACGTCGAACGATGTGTAGTATCCGTCTATTTAATATTTCGTGGAAACCAAGTGAGTAAAATCTTTCATTTTATGGTATATTTATCATACTCTGAAATATTTGTGCAGCATCTGCACACCTTTCTTTCTGAGCTTCAACGCATATATTCACGTAGTTTAGCATCTGCTGACCATTGGCGTTCCAACATCGTTCGAGACACGGCCGTTCCTGTAGCTATTCAGTGCCTTCCTTAAATAACTTAAATCATTTTTGTATTATTCTTCCGCTGACAAAGAAAGAACATTCCTTCTCCATCTTTCTACCTCTGCGCGCACTTCCAAAGTTAGATACAGAATATGAGAGCACGAATTTTTAACTTTTCGCTGTGTGTAATCCATATACACTCCTATTCAAAAGCTAGGATTCCAGACAAAAGAATGATTTCTTTAACTAAATTACTCTTAAATACCGATATCGTAATTAATCATATTTAGAGATGAAAGTTGAAAATTACAACATTCAGTTTGTATAAAAAGAGATCTGTGAAAAAAAAGCCCAAACTTTTAAATGAGGTATCGAAACAATTGAAAACTATGGATAGACATAGATCGACGTAGATGCATCGCGCTTGCAAACTCGATTTTAATTAATAAAACAACAAAACATCGTACGAACTTCTTTCGAAGCGATGAATGGTGACTTTTGTAACGCGCTATAGAAATGCAGAAGACCGCGCGTTGCACAGCGAGAATCCGAAGGAGGTCTCTATTTTAAAGAGAAGTTTGCGGCCGAGAAATTATTTACGGCACGGACCATTTATTTTTGCAGTTACGGCTCAAGTGGAAGTCGGTGAAGGTGGCTGGTTCAATTAACCGGCATGGTCAATTTAGAATAGTCTCCGGCTTGTGAGAAATAGATTTTATCGATATAATGTGAAGGAAAGCCACTTTGATCAAAGATGCTTCGGAATGCATCGAGCGATCGTGATCTTGTCATCGTGTCTTGATGAATCTTCGAGATCCTTTTGTCTGCTAGGGAAGAAAATGTTCCAGTCAACTCCAGAGGAAAATGACTACCATTTTTCGGGATTCTCGACTCCAGGAATATTGCCTGAAATATTTTTGTCACGTATACTTTTTCTATACATTTCCGCTCAAAAGTCGATTTTGTAATAAAATTGTTTATTGAAATATTTATTGTAATAAAATTTTTAAGTTACACGTGTATTTTACAACGTAATTGTAAGCGCGTTGACACTTTTAGAGATTCTTTTTTATATAAAGTATCAAAGTTCAGAGGGCTCAGGGACCAATAACGTTATTTTCTATCAAGAATGGCGTATGCTGTAGGGATATAATTTTCTTGTTAAAATTTCCAATTGATGGAACAATTTAGTTATAACATCGTAATGATGATATGACAGTAATTACATTATAATGGCTATATTGTTCCATCAACTGAAGATTTTATCAATAAAATACACGGCAAAATTTGTTTTTAATGGAAAACGACTTTCACTGATTGGCTGCTCCATTTAATATCTGAAAATTTCAAAGCAAATATTTGTCATAGGACTTTTGAGCAGAAATATATGTGTCTAATAGAAATATATGGAACTAGACAACCGTGAAACTATGAAAAATAAAAATATGTCATACGGTATATTAAAAATTATATGGATCGATGTTTGAATTCGTTTATTACACGTGTAAAACAGAGATCTATTCAGGCTACTTCTACAGGATATATTTCAAAGCTTTATTTGTAAAAAGAACATTGCACGTTGAAAGTAAAAGCGTCGTTTTAAGGCTTCGTCCGAGTTGAGTCCCGTGAACGTTTGCGAGCTAATCTAAAAAAGAAGGACGTACGCACGGACCTACGTATATATTACACGTACACTGAGTGAGATGCTTTCTAAAAACTGTTATCTTTCCATTATCCGACAAAGTACCTTTCAAAGCGAATATCGTAACTTAAAAGGCAAACTGGAAACCCACTGGAAAATAAATGTCTACTAGAAGAACTTACTCCTCCCCCTGGAACTCGATACTCCTCGGTCTTAAACCCTACCAACCCCTAAATGTCATATCATTTTTAATTTACTTTTCTCTTCTCCAAAACTCGGTCGAAATCCCATCGAGGTACCATCGTTCGCCAGGAATGTTCGTCTCGCTTTTCAAAGAGCGATTCAAACGCGAACGATTGCCAACGAATGGATTTGCGGGTAAAGATCCCGGTGGCGCTGCTCGGTCGAATCGGCACGCTGCCGTGCACGATTCGAGTGTTACTATTCGAGAACGATCGGCGAGAAAGCCAGGGAACCACAGGGTTCCTACGCGATCAATCAAGAAGCCGAACGATCGTTTTCGTCGGCGGTTGGGATTGCGGCGGTTGAGCGTGGGACACAAAGGCGGGAGTACGAGTTGCAGGATCGATAACGCCTTTGGAACGCTACCGGACGTATACGTACTACGGAACGGAGGTGTAGAGCACGATGATGACCAGCAGCGACGTACAGGCCCCCTTTGGCGAAAGCTAAGCCGGAGTCGCGAAAGCAGCCCCGTACGGACAAGGGGAGGATCGAAGGGGCTGGTCGGATCTACCATCTATGCACGGCGTAGCATAACAGAAGAAGAGAAACAGCGTGGTGGCCGTTAGATGAACGTTGTTGTATCGAATTGCTGAGAACCACTGGGTTCTACCTGGCTGTTAATAGGAGAGTGGAGAGCGCGCGGAATGTCCTCGTAAACGCGAGCGAGAGGGACGGACGAGATTGAAGGGGATAGACGAGGACGACACGGATGGCCGGCTGGTGTTTAAAGAAGGACACTCGATATAGGAGGCATTGTACCCGGTTACCGTCAGCCGTTCCAGGTGCTGGAGGCCAGTCGGCTCTCGCCACGGAACGGGCATATACGCTTGCATTTCCTTCTCCGTGCGAGCGAAAGGAGTCCATCGTGCGTGGTCGGTTGCACGGTCGCGTCGCGTGTTTGCCTAATTGCGAGGAGAGAGGAACGCGTGAGAAGACAGCAGAAGAGCGACGCGCCGCTTCTGGCTTGGCTTGTCCCTCTAGCCAGCCAGACCGACGGTTCTTCGTCATTGTTGTGTACTAGTAGTGGTGGAAGTGGTGGTAGTGGTGGCCGTCGTGTCCGTCTGCACCGGGACGCACAGCCGGCGAAACGCGCGCGAGTGGGAGAGAATCGACGACGGAAGACAGAGGAAAAGAGGGTGAAGGGGGCAGAGGACAGCGAGCCAAAGGCAAAACGGGGGAACCTCGAGAATCGAGGAGAAAGAGAAAGAAAGAAAGAAAGAGAGAAAGGAGAGAAGAAGAAGAAGAAGAAGAAGAAGCGACAGGGACGGCTGTGGATCGTGTGCCGCTCTGTAGTGCGACATTCGACGACAACACACGCTCGCTGTGCTTCCTGTCTCTTCTACCGCACACCGAGTGCTAATCAACTTTCGTTTAGTATATACGCCATACACTGTACACAGAGACGCTCCTCCGTGTCTCCTTCGAGACTCCGCTCTCTTCGCTTCGTTCAAACGCTGTTCTTTGTTCCCGCGACTTCTTCGACTCCTCGAAGACTCGCGTGTCGATCGACGCTGGACACTCGTCGATAGCTTGCCGATCGTTCGCGCTCGCGCACAAACTTCTCTCTCTCTCTCTCTCTCTCTCTCTCGCGTACGTATACAACACGTATGTAAGAAAGTTGTGCGACTCGTAGAAGAAGGAAGATCGAGGGGAGAGGGGGGGACGTTCGTAAGGGCCGGTTTCTAACCAGACGCGGTTTCCACTCCGATCGAAACGATATACCCAGTCCTCTTCGCTAGAACACGCGTGATTTCGGTAGTGAACGAGTGAAAGACCGAGGTATTTCAAGATTTTTTTGTGAATCCGCTTGCGAAAAGAAAAAGGAAAAAAAGCAGAGCTAGCCGACGTTTTTGCCCGCGCGTCACGCAGAGTGTTCGCCGGATTGTAAACAGAGTGTCGCGACGATTCTGGCGAAACGTACAGACGCTCTTTATCGTCGGCTTGTTTCGCTTCGAAGGAACACGGGATCTACGAAGGGAAGCGGAGGGAAGCTTCGATCCGAGTGCGGTGTCTGCGGACCATCGAGTAACGCCACGGCAGAGGATGTGCAGAAGGTCGACCTGGTGAAGCAACCCTGGTCGATGTCATTCGGGCGACGGCCGCGTCACGAACGGGATGCGAGAGACGAGCCACGTGAATGTTGTACGCCGTTGAACCTTCCTTTCCGCCAGGCGAATTATTCTGGACCGGCATGGAGCCCGTGAAAGCCAAGTACGTAGTTTACATACACACCAGAGAGCTAGACACGATGGTAATTTCTAAAGTTCAGGAGTTCGACGAAATTTCCTGCCGACGATACGCGCACGAGCTTCTTCTAGCTCTCTTTGCCTCCCGCCTTTTGATCCACGTTGTTCCCGCTTGTTAAAACTGCCCCGAATCGCTTCGTCGATGTTCAGTTTTCTTCGAGGCGAAACCTTCGTTGGTTTTGCAGTTTATATTACAGCCAGTGATCGAGTGACTGGAACGAAGATGAACCGTATATCGTAGAAAGCCGCGTTTTCACTGACATCGATATCGCTTCTTCGTATTCCGTTTTCTCCGCTGTACTTGCTGTACTTTCCTAAATAAACAAGCATGGAGCATTCTGTTACGTCGTGTGGTTTATCCGTTTATGTTTCATTAGTACATGTATATAATGTTTCTCTACAGCTGTTTATTTGCACAAACGTCTCTTTACAACGATAATAAGTGAAGTTTCGGTTTTTGCAGGAAATCAAGGAATGTGTGCCCCCTCCTTTCTTCCATGTATATTTTTTCTCTCTTAAAAGTTCAGAAGCTCGAATCTCTTTAGGTTGCAGTCTTACTTATCCCCAATAGAGATCTTCTGATTCGTCATTCCTGACTTTTTCTTTCTATCGTTTTGTCTATCTAAACGATTTTACATTTTTTCGAGAACAAATTTCTTCGCTCTTCTGTGGTTTTATTCGTCTTGTCGCACTCAACGATGAGGAGTTTCAATGAGAAAAAAACTTTTAAATCGACGTGTTCTGCGTAAAAAGAATATTCCTGATCCGAGTCCGTTTTTATCGTTGCCCATGCATTACCGTTTTGTACGCTGACAACGTGAGAACGGGATGAATGAAGTTTGTACCAACACCGTTTCCAGGGAGAGAACGTTTCATTCGTTGCTTGTGCTCATGAAGAAATTCGTAAATATTTTGCGACGCGTTTCGATGGCCAATCGATTGATTGGAGCTGGGGAATTCGTCCAGAAAGTCAATCAGAAACGAATTGCCCAAATAGAAAGAGAGAAATCGGGAAAAAATAATGGTCGTTCGATGTTTTGTCTCTGATGAAACTGTTGTATAAAGCCTGTTTCATGTTTGAACAAATTGTTTTCCTGTTTCAAATCGGAGATGTGTGAAAAATCTATTTTTTCTTTTTTTTTAAGAGAATTTCTAGCCTCGGTGTCCCCTTTGTTTTTTTTTTTT